AGCAACAATGACATACCACTGCTTACCAATTAGTGTCCTAAATTCAGAACACTGACAACACCAAATATGATGAGGATGTGGAGCAGTAGGAACTCTCATTTATTACTGATGAGAATACAAAATGGTACAGCCACTTTGGAAAGCAGTTTGGCAATTTTTTACAAAACTAAACATATTCTTACCATAAAATCCAGTAATTGCACTCCTCAATATTTACCTAAAGGAGCTGAAAACTTATGTCTATGCAAAAATTTGCACACAGATGTTTATATAGAAGCTTTATTCATAATTCCCAAAACTTGAAAACAACCAAAATGTCCCTTAGTAGATGAATGGACAAATAAACTGTGTCATGTCCAGACACGAAATATTCAGCATTGAGGAGAAATGAGCTATCAAACCATGAAAAGGCATGCAGAATACTTAAATGCATATTACTAAGCAAAAGAAGCTCATGTGAAAATGCTCTGTACTGTACAATTCCAACTTTACGATATTCTGGAAAAGTTTAAAATATGGAAACAGTAAAAAGATCAGTGGTTGCCAGGGGTTGGGGTTGTGTGGTATTAATAGGTAGAGAAGATAGGATTTTTAGTGCAATTAAAATAATCTGTATGACACCATAATGATGGATGTAAGTCATTATACATCTGTCTAAACTCAAGGACTGTAAACCAAGGGTGAACCCTAAAGTAAACTGTGGACTTTGGGTAATTTGATGTACCAATGTAGCTTCAGCATTTGTAACAAATGAACCACCCAGTGTGGGATGTTGATAATAGAAGAAGTTATGTATGTTTGGGGCAGGGGGTATGTGGGAAGTTTCTGTACCTTCCTCTCAACATTACTATCAACCACATAACTGCTCTGAAAAAAAAATCTCTGGGCCGAGCCCGTGGCGCACTCAGGAGAGTGCGGTGCTGGGAGCGCAGCAGCGCTCCTGCCGTGGGTTCAGATCCTATATAGGGATGGCTGTGTGCTCACTGGCTGAGCGTGGTGTGGCCGGTCTCAAAAAGGACAAAAAAATAAAATAAAATAAAATAAATCTCTTTCTTTATTTAAAAGAAAAAAAAAAGAAAACATTGAATTAACTTCCAATATATTCCCAACCCTTCTTGCTTTCCTTGTTCTGGTAATAAATCCTACCCCCATGGCAAAAGATGGGCATGTTACACAAATTAGTCCAATTCAAGTCCTTTCCTAGGAGTACGGTCAAACTCCATCTGAACCATCTTATAGTTAGAATGTAGGTCAGGAGCTTTCCCCAGCCAGGTCGCCCAACATAAGGAGAAATTGGTCTGAAAGAAAAAGCTGACACCAAAAAAAAACAGGAGAGAAAAAAAATCTAGCAAACACTGTGGGTTTCTAAGTCCCTGGATCCAGTTGTTCCTGAGGCAAGTTTCATACCAATCACTTTGCAAGGCTTAGTTGTATCAACAAATAATATTTCTCCTCTTTTTAGATTAATTTGAGTTTGTCCCTTGCAGGGTCTGGATCTCAATACTGTTACATTGGCAATTAAATTTCAATATGAGTTTTGGAGGGGACATTCAAACCACAGCTTGGAGTCATGACTCTATGAATTTAGTTATACTACTTTTGCACATCACATTGGACCTAGAACAAAGCCCTGCAAAGAAAAACTCAACAGTCATCAATGAATTTTTTAATTTCCACTTAAATTCTAGAATGTTATATAAGACACTACAAATATTAATAAAATTATTATGTGTAGAAAATTGTGAGCACATTCAGAGTCTCAGGAGATAATACTTTGGTTAAGTTGCCTGTTTTCAGAAACAAAAGGCACACATTTAACCATACTGCAAACGTACTCTTTGACATTTATAGGGACTGCCTCCATATAATATTCATATCCTTTGTACCTTCTCATAGTGAAAATTGTTTGATACTTGTTCAACTGTTGATTTTTTTATTATATATTAGTGCACCGCCTATCATATAAAAATTATATATATGTGTGTGTATATATATAACATATGTTTCTGTGTGTATTGCCTTAACTGACTTCCTGGAAAGTTTATATATTGCACTTAGAAAACCTGAAATGTAAATCTAACAAAGTAAAAGTTTGCTCTACAGTCTCTTAAAGAGGCCCCTTTCCATGAATTCTGTGTGTGACTTGTTCATAAATATGGAAAGTATCTGAAGATTTTCTTTTAACTTGTCTTGATTTCCTTGAAGGCTCTGGCACACGGCATGAGATTAAAATAATCTGGCATTGCTGACTACTTTGCCCACAAATACCAACGAATAAATATTAGAATGATGAATTCTCTTTCCCTTGTCAACGATGAATGTGTTCCCAGCCTGGGGCAAGGTCTAGAAAGTAATTTAAAAATAAACAAATAGAACCAAAGAGTAACGTTATTCTTTCATTCAAAGTTTATTAAAATACAAGAACAAATTGTAAAAGCACACGTACCACTCAGCACCAATATAACACTCTTTCTACTGATAATCTCCAAAGCATTTCTCTTTCTGCAACTGAAAAGCAGAGATATACACACATGCATTCTCACCACATTTTCCCAGTACTCTTAGCATCGTGTCCCGAATATTCTCCTTGCTTAGGGAGACAAAGATGGGGAGAGACAAACTAATGTGACTACATCCAACCACTGACTGAGTCGATGACTCTTTGGTCAGTAGTTATCATTCGCACACTGGTAGACTCTGCACATCCCAGTCTCCCTCTTCGGGCACCCCAATTACTTGGGCTAGTGAGTCTGGTGATAATGTGATGCAAAACTAAAAAAAAAACTGGCCAACATTCCCTACCCAATATCTTTTAATTGCTTTGGTTATAAAGTACTTACATCTTCATATCCCCCAATCCTAACACATATAAAAACCACACTGACCAGCAACAAGGTCTGGAGAAGTCTTGAGAGAATTTTATTTATTTCCCATACCCTTCTGTGGGCTTCTTTCATTTATGTGTTTACCTGTTAGTTTTTGGGGGAGGTAGAGGAGGGGGGGGGGGTTGGAGCCAAAATAGTGACTTCATTAAACATCTGCTGGGTCTTCGAAGTCTCAGCAAATATTAAATAAACTCCCTAGAGCTCTTGTGCTGCACCTAGGGCAGGCAGCAAGCCCTGACTTGCAAGAGCAGTCTTGTTTGGATATCTGTACATGTTTGCTTTCTATTGGTTCAGACTCACCTTAGAACAGAGCTGGTTCTGTTAAGTCTGAGACCTTGCTTCTGGTGCTATCCAGAACATAGGGCATTAGGAAGTGGCCAATGTTTTACTCATCCTAAAGCCACTCAATGTCACTCAACAGCCTTCCTCCAATTGTGAGAAGTTTCTTTTCAAAGCTTCCCAAATCAGTAGACTGAACCCGCAGGGCCTAGTTCTTCCCAGTTAGCAACTTCCTAGCTTTCCCAATCTCTGCTCTATCCTTTCATAAAGGTCGTTAGGGCACAACCAAAATAGTGGCGATTACTGAGCAGAGATTGGTACTTAAGCCCTGTTCTGGACATACATATAAAGAGTAAGTTTGACTTCTATTTTTAAGGTAAAGGAGGAAGTTGGAATATAACTAAATATAATTTATATTTGATTTTTGGCAATATCATTTTTTAAAAAGCTCCTAGAATTAAAAGCCTTTCTGTCAATCTTGACTGCTCTGAGAGGCATGACATTGGGCATGTTCTGAAAAGCTCTAGATGCTAGTAAAGGTTTTCATTAATCCTTCGATGGGACACAAGTCAGTGTCTACTTTTACTGCTTTGCAATGGCCATGTGATTCTAATTAAGCTTATTTTCCAAACCATCAGTCAGAGGTCAGGTGGAACAAATGTCCAGGTACATTGTCTTATAACTTTTATAATGGGAAGTCCTGTAAATCAGCAAATTCCTCTCGCTGTGGACATAGCCCATAGGGCATGCAGAGGGCACCTTGTATCTACATAGGGATTTTCCCAAAGGCATAGATATTGCCTTAAACACCCTCTGCTATTTTATGCAACAAGGCAGCACCCACGCATGACCTCACCATATTTCATAATTCTTATTCAAGAATCCAGACAATGAAATACACTCAGGCAAAATGAAAGACAGTAGGCATTCCTTCCCTCCTTGATCAGAGAATAAACATTTCCTGGTTAATGGGGGAAGAATTTAACTAAATTAATAGACCATTTAGAAATTGATACAGTATTACCAAAAATCAGAAACACATTCTGTAAATGAGGTGAAAACACAGGACCAGAGATCAAAATGTGAATATGAAAAGCCATATAAGTTAAATGGCTGTCACTTTAGCTATACAAAGCAAGAACAGTTACTAATCTGCCTCTAGGAGGTCAGTTACATTTCAACAGCTGTACAAAACACTTCTATGTTACTGGGCAGGCATTTCATTCATGTCCATTCAAGAAAGTCATCATTAATTCCACTAGTATTTTCTCTAAGCAATAAAATAAGTTTTGAATAGTTCCAAGACATAAGTTTTGCAAATACTAAATGTTTGAGTAAATCCAGATGTTATAGTATCTAAAATTTCTTGGGAACTCTTTCAATAATAAACAACTAATTCAACTTAAAAGGCTAAACTGATAGCTCTGTGTAAACACAGCCCATGGGGGCAGGGGGTCTGTTTAGGTACTGAATAAAAAAAAAAAAAAAAAAAAAAAAAAAAAAAAAAAAAATTGAAAAAAAAATCATATATAATTTAGAAACTCAAGAAAAGAAAGCCTATTGTAATTACCCATATTTTTGCTTATTGTGTTTTTTTCTTTCCTAATGTTCCAAGATTCCTTTCTTTATGTA